GGAGCCCGGCTGGCCGGCCGCGGGCCCCGGGGCGCGACTGCGGCGCGATGCGGGCGGCCGCGGCGGCGTCTACGAGCACCTCGGCGGGGCGCCCCGGCGCCGCAAGCTCTACTGCGCCACCAAGTACCACCTCCAGCTGCACCCGAGCGGCCGCGTCAACGGGAGCCTGGAAAACAGCGCCTACAGTGAGTGTCGAGGCGGCGGCGGGGACCCCGGGGGGGCGGGGAGCGGGGTCCGGAAGGGCCTGGCGCGCCCAGGGTGCCCGCCGGGGTCCCCCGCCGCCTCCTGGCGTCGGGGAGAAGAGCGCGAGGGGAGCTGGGGGGAGGGGGTCACGTCCGAGGGCACGCGCGGTAGACACCCCCGGGGCGCCCCGCCCGGCTGGGTCCCGGGGCCCCCGCAAGTTTGAGCCCCGTGAGTTGGTGGGAGAAAAGGCGCCGGACGAGGCGGGTAGGGTCTCCTAGTATTTTGACGACCTCTCCTCCTCGGGCCGACCCCGGGGCGCCCCGCCGGCCCCTCCGCCCTCCTGGAGCGCGGCCGCCGCGGGGAGAGTCATTTCCCCGGGGCCCGAACCGCCGCCCTCGGCCGCAGAGCGACAGGCAGGGCGGGCGCCGCCTCGGTGTGCGGCCGCGGGATACGAGCTAGGCGCGCAGAGGGACGTCCGCCCGGGTCCGGGGGCACAGGTGTGCTCCCGCCTGGCCCCACGGCCCGGATCGGGCTCCAGCGGGAGCCCCGCGGGCGCCGGGGTTTGGCTCCTCTGGCCGTGGGGACCCGGGCTCGGGCTGAGCCTCCGGGAGAGGAGCGCGGGGGCCGGGGGCCGAAGCAGCTCCGCTTGGCCGGGAGCGGGAGACCCGAGCTCGGGGCGAGGCAGGGACGCAGCGGGCAGCGTGGGAGCGTGGCGGGGGGCCCGGTGTCCTGTGCCGCAGCCCGCGGGCGCTCGCCCCCGCGCCGAGCGTAGGAAGCCGTGCGGCGGCGGGAAACCGCTGCTTCCGCGAGGAAAGCCGCAGCCCCGGGAAGGCGCCTTCGGAGGACGCCTCTGGAGCCGCGCGTGGGGGGCGAGCTGTCGCCAGGGCGTCCCGGGGGCCGCAGGGATGGGGCTCCCGGAGCGCCCGCGCTCCCTTCCCAGCAACGCCCCGGTTCTCTCCAAATCCAGGCTCCCACAGAGCATCAGAATCTTTGGAGCATCCAAGGCAGGCAGCTTGGGGGCAGAGGAGCGCGCGGTGCGCAGCCACCCCTGTCCCGCATCGGGACGCAATTCGCCCCCGCTGCGTCCCAGGGACGCCAGAGGCCCGCGGCCTGCATCGCCCCGCGTCTTGGCCCTGGGATTGCTGCCGTGCTGGGGGCCCTGGAGAGGGCATCGCTTTGGCTCCAGAGCCCCTTGGAGCCCTTGGGGGGCCGGGGGGACAACGGCCCCACTGGGGCCTTTGTTGCAGGACCTCTGATGAAAAGGCACTCCTGCGTTCAGAAGGAAGCTTAGGGGAGACTTAAAGTCCTTCCGCGCAGTGGGGATGGGAGAGCCCAGGTCAGTTTCCCTTTGTGCCATCCGGCGTCTAAGCCCGCTTCCTGCTACTGTCCTCTGTGGCGCTTGGACCCTGCCCTGCACAGTTACCTGCTGCCCAGGCCCGCTGCCAGCGAGTTCCGGTGGCTCCCTCAGTGCCCTGCGCGCAGCAGCCCCGGCTTCACCCCTGCCCCAGACTCCTCAGATGCTGTGGGGTGTAGACAACGCGGTTGGAGAGCTCCCGCACCGCTCTCCGCAGCCGGGGTTGGAGCTCCGGCTCGCCCACGTGGGGGTGGTCTCGGGAAAGTCTCCTAACCCCGCTGTCTCGGCTGGCCTGTCTGTCGGATGGCGCAGCCGGCTCGTTTTCTTCCTCCCCTCCCGTGTCGGAATTCTTCTCGTCGGAGAAGCCTTTCCCGATGCTCCCGGGGCTCTGCCTCCCATCCAGTAGTCTCCTTTTCCTCAACCTCCCGAGTCACCCCCCCCCGCCCCGCCCCGCTTAAGTGTGTGTTGCCCTCACCTCCCCGAGCCTGGGCGAGGCTTGGGCGGGTCCAGGGGGTCCTCGGCCCTCGGTGTGCGGGGCTCTGTGGGGGGCCGCGGGGAGTGACGCGCCTTCACACTGTTCCCAGGTATCCTGGAGATCACGGCGGTGGAGGTGGGCATCGTGGCCATCAAGGGGCTCTTCTCTGGACGGTACCTGGCCATGAACAAGAGAGGACGGCTGTACGCTTCGGTGAGTCCGATCTCGCACGTGGGCAGGCGTGGATGGGGCGGCCGTCTCCCTTGGCCACTCGTTAGGGGACAGAGGGGACGTGGGCAGTGTAACGCTTTGTCCGGGGACCTGCAGAACCCGAGCTGGAACCAGAGCCTCAAGCCCCGGGGTCTCGACGCCCAGGGCGGCCTCGGCCCCTGTGATTGCCTTGGGGCACGGCCCCCCGGGGAGGACCCCACGGGGTCACACTTGTCTTACGTTCTCCAGTGTCGCTGGTTAGAAGCTGCCCCTCCACACATTTTTGTTCACCATCGCTGCCCTTCCCCCCACGGTAGCTGAGAGCGAGGCAGAGATTGTCCCCCGAATCTCCACTGAGATAAATAGACCCGGTGAGCCGTGGGGCGCCACGCGACTGCCTGCCGGGCAGAGCTTTTCTGCGGGCTCAACCAGGGGTCTCCTGGGGGGATGAGAGAGGGAAGCAGGGCACGGCACAGCCAGCCCTCCCCCGGGGATGGAAGGCGAGAGCTGAGAGCTGTTCGTTCTCAGGCCGGAACACAGAGGAAGGACCACAGGGCCCGCCTCCCAGGCACCCAGATTCGGAATCCGGTCTACACAGCCTGGGGCCTCCGCAACAGAAAAGGGTCCCGTGACTCTGTGGGCATTGGCGGTGTCCTTCCCCCAAGGGCAGGGGTGGGGACGCATGGAGTAAAATGCATGTAAGCAGGAAATTTGCCGTCTCCAACTAGTCATTACGCGCAGTTCGGCTGATACCTCCTTGGGCAATGAGACGCTTTCCGTCCACGGTAACCTAGACGACGCAGCCCGAGGACCATTTCCCCGCAGCTCCCTCTCTCCGTGCAGCAGTCTCTTTGCAGGGGACCCACACCAGCCTCTCCCTGCCCGGAGAGGTTGGGGAGCTGGGCAAAGTGTGATCGGCAAAACCCTCTTTAAGCTGCCGTCTCGTCCCAGACCTTGCGCCGGTTTGCCGAAGGAGATGGAAAAGCTGGAACGCGCCCAGCTGTTTTGTCTGCCTCAGGGGCCACTTAAGAGAAGCCGTGTC